ATGGACTGTACAGTGTTAAGACTCTTGTTACCGGAAAACTCCCTTTCAAAGCCGCTAGCAAATATCCACCCGAACGAACGTTGTTTTTGTTCCTTGCCTGATGAAAGAGCTTGCCAGGACGCTCAGGCGAAGAGAGTTACTCGTCCAACGTGCTTTGGCTTGATGCGAGATAAAGGGAGCTCGCAGCTACCGTGGGAGTTTCGCATCCTTCAAGGCTTCCTCATCATGAGGCTAAGTCCAAGGGACGGAGCTCGAAATGAAGCTTCGGAGAGGCGCTTGACGCCTTTGCCATCGCCTGGATCTGAATCTCACATCAAGGTATAATCCAATATCACATATTTTTAACCCTTCGTATCTTTCCGATATCTAAGCCTTCCTTTTCCCCACCACCACCGCTCTTTTTTTTGTTTCTCCCTCCCGCTTGGGCACTTTCGTATTAACTGCAATCAGGAATCCCTTTCCCAGCCAACTACTTCTCTTCTTCAGCAGACCAAGGACAGGTTATCGGAACCTGTGACGGCCGCTTTTCTCGCAGGTGGGGTAGCTGGTGCAGTGTCGCGGACCATCGTTTCTCCCCTCGAGCGATTGAAGATCTTGCTTCAAATCCAGAGTGTCGGCAGAACAGAATATAAACTGTCAATATGGAAAGCACTAGTCAAAATAGGCAAAGAAGAGGGATGGAAGGGTTTCATGCGGGGCAACGGGACCAATTGTATCCGTATAGTCCCCTACTCTGCCGTTCAGTTTGGAAGCTATAGCCTTTATAAAGGGGTAAGCTGATGTTATTTCTCCGACCTTGCCCTTTCGGATCTCTTGCGGCAGTATTGACGAGTTGGCCGTTTCGCAATCATTTACCTTTTGATTCCAGTTGCCATGAAACTCTTTTTTGAGGGGTTCTTACTTGAATTTGTGTTCCTTCTTCCGCTTTGCTAACATGGAGACCAGTTTTTTGAGCCAACTCCGGGCGGCGAACTTACCCCTCTACGTCGTCTGTTTTGTGGAGGCCTCGCTGGTATCACGTCTGTTACATTTACTTATCCGTTAGATATCGTAAGAACAAGGCTCTCCATCCAGTCTGCTTCCTTTCGCGAACTCCGCAAGGGGCCAGAACAACCGTTACCAGGAATATTTGGGACGATGCGATTGATGTACCGTAATGAAGGTGGTTTCCTTGCTCTTTATCGTGGGATCATTCCCACCATTGCCGGCGTTGCCCCTTATGTAAGTTATCCAAATCGCTATACTGTCGAGCTGGTCACACAGAATCCTAGCTAATTTTATATGAAGGTAGGGTTAAATTTCATGACCTATGAGTCAGTGCGGAAGTATCTAACTCCTGAGGGAGATCTTAACCCTAGCCCTTACCGCAAGCTGTTGGCCGGTGCAATATCAGGTGCTGTCGCGCAGACATGCACATATCCATTGTGAGACCTCGTTTCCATTTAAAAAAATATATTACCGTCAATTTAGTTTGTCAAGTATATCTAACCAACCGATACAGCGATGTCCTCCGAAGAAGATTCCAGGTCAATACGATGTCTGGCTTGGGATACCAATACACCTCCATCTGGGATGCAGTGAGGCTTATCAAAAAGCAAGAGGGAGTCAGAGGCCTCTATAAAGGAATCGTTCCGAACTTACTCAAGGTGGCCCCTAGCATGGCGAGCAGCTGGCTGAGCTATGAACTGACCCGTGACTTTTTTATGAGGCTTGGTGACAGTGATTAGGAATAAGGGTTGGATTTTAAAACACTGGTTGAGAACCTTGTTCCCGGCATTCGTCCTCATGCTGGGCCAACAACCACTGATTGCATGCACTGTACATCTGTATTGGCCCACTGCGGGCTACCAGATTTGGCGGGGGCCTTTCATGCTTGCACTATGTGCACTTAGCCTATTTGATGGTCTTCCTTGATGCCTCATCTTGTTTCACTAGTTCCCTTAGTTCCCTTTTTCCCTTTTTCATATTTTCTGCTACTTCTGCTACTCCAATTTTCTGTACACTTTTCTTGCGTTGATGATCTTAAAAACTATTGGAGTTGGACTTCATTTTAGAGACGGACAAAAGGGGAAACGATATCCTGAAGAGCCTTTATTAGACGGGTTAATCATCTAATCAATACGATGCAAATGTTGTAAATACAATAGAATACCTATTTTCCATGAATATCATTATGTGCATAGTTATTATCATCATCCCATCAGGAACTACTTCGTACGTTTACCTGTCCACAGGCGCCAAAACACGTTTACTCCTTGGAGCCGCCTGTTTAGGACTAGCGCAATGTTTGCACACACACCGCCTTCCCCTTCTGGAAAGCGTCCCGAAACGGCTAGCGTAGGGTTACTCCCGCACACTCAGCGGCTTCAAAATAATCAAACCAACCAAGATCATCTTTTGCAGTCGTCGACTCTCGCATCGGTGTAAAAGTCAGCTTTCGACAACGGTATCCAACAGCCATGGGTAAGCCACACTGTATTCCTTGTTGAACGGTTCTGATCGCTTCGAATTTCTCCTGTATGACCTGCGACATGAGGAGGGAATGCTGATGCAAGCTTCTTCGTCAATCGTTAATAGGTATCGATTTGGACCGCCACCATGTCCGGGGTTCCCACCGCAAGGCACCCAAGAGTGATAATGTCTACCTCCTGCTTCTCGTGAAGCTGTATCGCTTCCTTGCCCGTAAGCTATACCCCCGCAAAATACTTGCCTTTTGAAGCAGAAGGGGACAAACGCCATAGCATAATTTTTTGCGTATTTTCTAAAAAAAAACAAACCGCAGGCCGTACCGACTCCAGCTTCAACAAGGTTGTCCTACGACGTCTTTTCATGTCCCGTATTAACCGCCCCCCGGTATCTCTTTCCCGAATTGTGAGCGCCATTGGGACCAAGGAAACAGCAGAAGCGAACAAGGGAAAGACCATCGTTATTGTTGGTACTGTCACCGATGACAACCGGCTCCTCAACGTCCCAAAGATTTCCGTTGCTGCTCTTCGGTTCACTTCCACCGCCAGAGCTAGAATTGAGAAGGCCGGCGGTGAAACCTTGACTCTGGACCAGCTGGCCCTCAGATCCCCAACTGGTGCCAACACATTACTGCTGCGGGGTCCCAAGAACGCGAGGGAGGCTGTAAAACACTTTGGCTTCGGCCCACACAGTGGAAAGGTTAGAGAGAAATTTTCTGATATATATACCGTGAGTCTGGACTCCTAGTTTGCTAACTCGCTTTTGTTCGTGTGCAGAAACCATATGTCCAGAGCAAAGGTCGGAAATTCGAGCGGGCTCGTGGTCGGAGACGGTCCCGTGGCTTCAAGGTTTAGGGTGTTTTCTATGGGTTCTTGTTCAGGTTCAGCAAATCGCGTGAGACAGGCTTGTGAAATTGGCCATCACAATTTTCTAGTCAGATTGAAGGAGCCCATGATGAATAATGTTTCACAACTTAACCTCCCTGGAATTCCTGAACCTTTCTTTTCTCCTTGTCTTTTATTACGTCCAAATGCTAGTCGGTTTTTTAACACAAAGAAACAGAGAATAATGCCTATACGAGTAGAGGAAATTCTCTCCAATCAAGCGAAGAGGACATGTAAATCCGCAGGTTGGATCTACGGGCTGGGTTCTTGCAAGCACATGGGCCGGAGAATTAAAACAGAGCATGCGCATATTGATTAATATGTGTCGTGCTTTTCAATTATAAGGATTTTGTACAATCATTATCAGAAATGAACTTCTCTTCCTACTGGAATTATATAGTCAATTTACGATGTTTCCAGCTTTTCCCGCCTTCGCCTTCAAAATAATCGCCGGCTGTCTGGCCATTGCCTTGAATGAAATATTTGTAGATAGTCAACCCCTCCAAACCCACTGGTCCTCTCGAGTGAATTTTATTCGTGCTAATGCCAACCTCTGTTCCAAACCCATATCTCATCCCGTCAGCTAATCGGGTGCTCGCGTTCCAATAAACACCAGCACTATCCACACCAGCCAGGAAACGTTCTGCGATAGTCCTCGATGAGGTTAGAATGACATCCGTGTGTTTCGAGGAATGTGAATTTATATGTGCGATGGCGACGGCGACTGGAGTTTCTTGGGGAGTAGTTGATGATATCGTTTTTATCGCAAGAGTAAGGTCCAAAAACTCAGTGTTGTAATCAGCCTCCGTTGAGTCTTGTAGGAGTGATGACTGCACAGGAGAGAGTTTTGCTTGGAGAGCAAGCTTTGATGGCTTATCGCAACGGAGGGTTACGCCTTTAGCCAGTAGGGCATCCGCAATAGCCGGTAATAGGGTAGACAGAGCATCTTGGTCAACAAGAAGGGTCTCAACAGCATTGCATGCTGAGGGGTATCCAGTTTTAGCATCAATTATTACTTTTGTTGCCATTGATAAATCGGCGTCCGAATGAAGATATATCGAGCAGATTCCATCAGCATGGCCGAGAACGGGAATTTTGGTGTTTTCCTTCACGTAACGAACTAGGTCGTTGGACCCACGAGGTATAACAAGGTCAATATACTTATCCTGAGCTAGTAAAGGAAGTATGGCATTTCTTGTTTTAACAAGCTGGATTGAAGTATTTGGGACCTGCGACTTGGATATGGATTCCGAAATGATATTTGAGATGGCCACGAGAGACTCCGTCGATTCCTTGCCTCCTGGAATTGGCGTTAGGAAAAGAGATAACCTCTGAGTGAACAATGGGTTTTGCATAACATCACAGTACCTTTCAGGATGGCCGCATTTCCAGATTTGATTGACAGGGCAGCAATATTGACAATCACTTCCGGTCGTGCCTCGAATATTACAAGCAATACCCCAATCGGACAAGTAACTCTTTCAAGAATGAGATTGTCATCTAGAAGAGTGCGTAGCGTCACCTTCCCAACTATCGAACCCATAGATTCATTCAGCACCGTTCGGGGAACAACAGAGGGAAGCAAGCAAAAGCAAAAATAGGGATATCTAGGACTTACTCGGATCTTCCAAATCCCGCACGTCCAGAATGCCCTTCAGCATGTCCTCATACTTCCCAGGTCTACTCAGGTCCAGCCTTTTCAGGATGCTCAAGCTCAGTTCACCATTTTCCGCTGCTTTAATGGCGGCCTTGACATCTCTCGCATTTGCTTCAAGGATAGCATCCTTTTGTTTCGACAGAGAGGCATATATCAAGTCCAAAGCCTCATTTCGCGCTGAACTAGAGAGCGTTGCGAGAAGCCGCGAGGACTCAGAGGCTGTTTTTGCCGCCTCCACAGGTGATGCATCGGTTAGCAACATTGTTGGCGTACAGCGATTGGCATACAACGACGGAACTGGCGATACTTCGGGCGCAAGTAAATTCCAATTGAATGAGGGGATTAAAAAATACATGTAAATGTAGAAGTATGTTGTGGTTAAAAAGGAGAAACAAAAATCCCACTTTGATATTTAATAAATAGCCCAAACCTGGACTCCTTTAAAGCTCCACAGGTAGATGGTTTTGTTATCAGCACGTGAATCACACTACAACTGTGTTACCTGACCTTAACAGCCTCAAACTTCAATCACCATTAACAGCCACAGCGCAAAACAAATAGTCCTCATATCTACTCTGGGAGATTGGAAGCTTCCATTCTTCTTTTGTGGGCTGATATCAATTTTACCAGCTTATATTGAACTGCAAAGGTACGCAGCTTGAATTTCAAGGATTCCGATCTCCTGTAGTGTGATTAACTGGAGCGTTTAACTACCTATATAATATGGTCCACCACCAGGATAGAGCATTGGTTGGCGTTGACCAGCAAATATATACTCAGTTATATAACATCAAACTAACAGAAGACACAGCCTGCCTTCACGCATTCACACCGGCCAGTATATCCACCTAATTTCGATACCATCGATCGAGTCATCCCCATATCCCTTTTAAGTTCCCGCACTAGCTGAGGCATGGTCGAATAGGTTATAGAGTATACATCTAATACGGGAAGATATCGTGAAGGATTTGCTGTCGGATATCATATTCTCCCTCACCTTCGCTATGGCGGAAATTCTCTCTCGTTTACTTTCCTTCCCTCCCACACCTTCGCCGAAAGGACGTCCAACATCTGATGTGAAGTACGATAAAGAGATACGGGGTCATTATTTGGAGCTAAAATGCATACCTTCGCAGAAGTTGGTTGCGCATATCCCTGGAAAGGGAAATTTTCTGGAGGTTCGCTCGCTCCTTTGCAGTTGTCGCTCTTTACAAGCTCCCCCGCAGAATGCAACAAAAGGAATCACATATCATGATATATACCTGACTAACGAGTTTGTTGTGGGCAGTTGCTGGATCCAGGACGTCAAACTCTGGCTTACATTTTTGTTCTTCTATCCCACTATCAGGTTTCACAGGAAGATACCAAGGAGCCATTTCCAGTTGCATGGCTTCCGGGAGGGGAGCTATGGTCAAAGTCAATAACACTCCTGAAAGTGTTTGATCGCATCCAGGTGAGGTACGCTGGCCAGGAATTCCGAAATCTTGTTGAAATGGTTGCGAAATCAGCCGAGATTTCGTCACGAGTGAGCTACCCCACCCCAATATTACTTTATGTTTTATACTTACAGTTGAAGAAGCCTCTGGTGGCTCTTCATCCTTTAAAACACGCTATACTCCGTCTTGACCCATCGTCCTCCACCTTCACATCATTGCATACCACATTTGTACGCCTGTGTCTTCTATCGAGGTCTTACCTCTGTGCTCTCGATATTCTAGATAAGCCTCTCTGTCATTTCCCAACTACTTCCGACAACCTATTTATTAAAAGGTCCCAAATCCTTCCGTGCCAGCAACATGAGTCAAGCATGTCCTTTATCACTGCCTCCTCAGGATTGTCGGGAAAGATAAACCACAGATCTTACCTAGAGTACTTTCTGTACGGTGCGATGATTTATATGGGCCTCAAAAAATGGGACAACGCCATCCATTTCCTTGAAATAGTTATTTCTGCACCTACAACAAACTCATTAAGCATGATTATGGTAGATGCATACAAGAAATGGGTTTTGGTTTGCCTTTTGGAAAAGGGAAAGGTATGTACATACTTGGGGAATTGTCATTCATATCCAAACCGCTAATGCTTTATGATTTACTATAGCCCCTCCCTATGCCAAGAACGGTTACACCCTCCACAGCAAAAGTATTCAGATCACTAGCAAAACCCTACGACTCTCTAGCTGATGTTTTCAAATCTGGGGACTTTCGAAGGTTACAAGCAGAGGTTTCTGCTGGTGAAGCAGTTTGGTTTTCGGTGGGTGATATAATTGGCCTTAAAGGGTGTTTACTTGGAATCCTGTGACTTATCGCTAACTTCTGCCGCGTTCTTTACTATTTCATTTTCCTCACTAGGATAACAACATAGGCTTAGTTTCACAAGCCTTGCTTGCGTATCAGCGTTTCTCTGTCGTGAAACTTGAAAAAACATTCGCTGCACTATCAACACTGGATATATCGTCTTATTTAGGGACCGACACCCAATTGACGGATGATTTTGTGGTAGGCTTGATTACTTCAGGCCAGCTACAGGCATGTTTAATACAGCCTTCGGATCCGTCGATGCCCTCCGTTCTTCGTTTCGCATCAGCAACTTTCAACCTCAACCATCAGCCTGAATCGAAATTCTTGGCTAATTTAAATATACAAAAATATCAGCTAGCATCACTTGAGAGGCTTGCGAAAGGCACTGATATGAAAATAGAGCTGGGACGTGAATATATAGAAAACATGCGGAAAGCTCCAAGGCGTACGGATGTCGGCAGTAGGGATGAAAGGTCAATGGCGGGGATTTCGAACGGCGAAT